TAGGAAGACAATTTCCACAAGTGGAGGGATGATGACAAGTGCAGGGAAACTATTTCTTTGTCTGCTTAAAATTAATTCTTGGTTTTTACATTTTTATATTCTAATTGTTAGCATGATTAGTTCTCTAAGCCTTTGTTCTCTCTTCTAATATTTCACTCTAGGGTTTGGCCAGAACTCCCAGAGGTCTCCAGTTGGGGTTAGTTTCCTCTGTGAAAAATGGAGAAAATAAATCCAGCTTCTCTTGCAGGGGATGCTTCCTGAATCCCCTTAGGCTCTTGATAATTCCAGATTTATTTCACGTATCTTTATCAGTATACTCATGTAGATGCTTCTTGACATACAATGGGGTTACAGACTGATGAACCCATCCTAAGTTGAAAATATTGTAAGTTGAAAATGAACTTAATACACCTAACCTATTGAACATCACATCTTAGCCTAGCCTAGTCTACCTTAAATGTGCTCAAAAACACTTACATTAGCCTACAGTTGGGCAAAATCATCTAATGCAAAACCTGCTTTATAATAAAGTGTTGAATATCTCATGTAATTTATTGAATACCGTACTGAAACTGAAAAACAGAATTGTTGTGTGGGTACTCTAATTTCGGTTTCTACTGAATGTGAATCACTTTTGTACCAGTGTAAAGTTGAAAAATTGTAAGTCAGTGACCATCTGTTTTCTATAATATCTTTTCTTATATTTTCTTCTCCTTTTTTTTTTTTTTCTTGATGACTGTGATCATGACAGTCAAAGGAAAAGCCACCAATTCAGGCTGGCCTGTTTGGTTTTCTAATAAAAGGCCCAGAGGTGTACCATGTTGACTAAGATGGAGCAAGGGTGTTAGCTCTTGATAACCCTTTTCTGATATAGTGGAAACCTGGGATGGGATAAGTAATGGCACATTGACAGTGTTTTCCTTATGGTATTTTTGTTGGAGTAACAACAAACTGCTCCTCTTTCAGGCCAAGTGCTATGACACTTCTGTCCCTTGCATAGCATGTGGGCACTCTACTAACTAATGATGATGATACAACAGGCAAAGCATTTTGGATAAAAACAGAGACCGACATCTGGTAGACCTGGTTCAAATCCTGGCTGTTCTATTTTGTAGCAGTGTGGCTCTTGGCAAATCACTCACTGTACATTTCTCTGAGCTTCACTTTTTTCATGTGTAAAATGAGAAAATGATAATAATAGCTGTGTCATAAAGTTCTTAAAAAGACTGAATAAATAATTCAGTAGAGAGAAGAAGTATAACTAGGTGGTTAAGCCTATGAGTTCTAGAGTCACATTGCCTGGGTTCAAATACCAGCTCTGCCACTTCCTGTCTGTGACCTAGAGCAAATTAATTTGTTGTTTGTTAGGTTGACTCTGAAACAATGATTAGCAGACAGGATATATATTAGAGTGTGCCCTTGGGATTGACACCTGTGGAAGTGGGGACAGGAAGCAAGAGTGGGCAGAGGGAGAAGTTGGGCTATGATGCAGTTCCAGTGAATACCTCAGCTGACCCTGCAGGGAGCTCTGGAATTAGAATGGCCCTTCAGAGTGGTCTCAAGTTGGGGCTTGGAGCTCAGGTCTTTATAGCCCATGATGATTAGTCACTGGATACGATTGCTGCTGGGAAGAGGTATGTCCTAGGGTGAGGTAGTTTTCTTCAGTGGAGGCAATCTCCAAAGTGAGTGGACATCAGAAGGCCATCTTCCAGCAGCACTCTTACCAGCTGGGAATAAGTCTTCCATTCTTGAAGAGGATCTGGGTGGTGCATCACAATGTCTACCACAGTCTACCTCCATATTCTCACCAGGAAAATGGGAATAATGATAGTACTGACCTCACAAAGTTGTGGTGAGGATTAATTCATTTAGATTAATGCATTTACTGATGGAAAAGGTTGTAGAAATCTGTGGATGATCCCCTTTTAGAGATGGGGAAGCCAGAGTTCAGTGAGAGGAAGTGATTTGCCAAGTTCATTGGTGGAATAACCAGGTAGGGAATTGGGAGCACATGTCATCTTGCCCAGAACTGGTAAGCTGTAAAGGGAGCCATACATAACGATACATAACTGGGCTCATATAGTCCCTCATTTCATGTAGATGAAGCAAATACATATTTTACCTCCATTGATGTCAGGTTTTTTTACCTGTAAGCTCATGGTGCAAGAGTGGACTTTGGTTTTTACTCCATTTTGTCTGTCAGGGATCACGCAAGAGCCAGAGGGATCTAATGAACATTACTCCAAAATTGCCAAGGTCCTCCTTGATGTCTAGAAGCTGAGGAAATTGACCAGCTTTGGTCTTTGTGGGAAAGCTCTTCTCTGGCTCTCTGAGACTGACCACTTTTACCTCTTTGCTTTTGTTTCAAGGGTACTACGCCAACCAGTGGGCAGGATTTATTTCGCAGGCACGGAGACTGCCACACACTGGAGTGGCTACATGGAGGGGGCTGTGGAGGCCGGGGAGAGAGCGGCCCGAGAGGTAGGGCTTGGGGTCACGGGCTGTGGGGGAAGAGGCAACTGATGGGCTTGACATGCAGATCAAAGATGTCTGAGATCCCAGAGACAAACTCTCCTCGGTAACCCCCATCTGGAGACCCATGAAACACCATTTTAACAGCAATCTCAGGCGAACACCTTAACCCAAAAGTAATAATGAAAATATCTAACCTGTCACCCAAGATAAAAAGAGCCCATGGAGCAAAAAATGACTATGGCTATACTTGAGAGTTACCTACATCTTATGTTATAGAGCCAAACATGTTTCTATTAGGACTCAGAATTCATTCATTCATTCATTCATTTCACAAGAAAGATTTCCAGACCATTCCTCTTATCTCATCCCTGTTAAGGCACGTTCACAACTATTAAAATTTATAGTAAGCCTATGGTTGGGACCTCTTATACTATACGTGAAAGACCTTTTGGAGCTTTTAAAGGTTGAGTGGACTGCTCTGGCCTTTATGTTGGTGTTTTTCATGTATACTCCAAGGTAAAGAGATAGTCCGAGTCCTTTATTTAGAGAGCAGAGTAGGAGAAAGATGGTGTCAATTCTGCTATTTGCCAAGATACTCTTTCATTTCAGGTCCTGCATGCCATGGGGAAGATTCCAGAGGATGAAATCTGGCAGTCAGAACCAGAGTCTGTGGTAGGCTATATTTTATTT